AACTCAATAAATGTTCTATGCGAAAGTTCTCATTGGACAAGCAGTTTACATCACTCAATAAATGTTCTATGCGAAAGCAAATGTTGCTATTTATTTTTCAAAATACAATGTTTATTTACATGCACTTAAAACTCAAAAGTTAACAGCTTAACATAAAAATAACCACTGTTAACATAAGACTGGTCTCTGTAATTAGTTGGTTAGTAACAGAAATGGACTGAGATTCAATAGCTAGAAGTTACAAACTGGTTTTGGATGATCTGGCTACAATATTATTACACACACACAAAAGCTGATGCAAGATTATCTCTGTAAATTATATGACAAAAGCACATGCATGATAATTATAGAAGACAAAGGTAAATACACTGTGAACAGTACTGTCTACCATAAAAGTACATACCAAAACAGATACATACCTTCATTTCTGTTGTATATGCTTTACAAGACTTTATGCTGTTTAAGACAAAGCAAAGAATTCACCGAAAAACAATTTTTAAAAATATGGACAACCTGCTGTTGAAATGGGTAACATTTCACTACACTAACATCAATCTTTGTAACCATTGTGTTATGTATAAAACAGAAAAACACTACAGAGATACAAGTTTCTTGAATGTGTAAATGTGAGTCCAAATATTCTTCCTGAATAAGGTGTCGACACAGATAAACTAGAAAGAATAATTAGCTGACTGACACAGGAAAAGACAACAGCCGTCAAAGTACATCAATCAATGGCATGCCCACATTATTACAATGCTATAAATATTCAAGTATTTGGTTACGTTGCAAATCTTATCTAACGTGCTGGAAATAATAAAGTCAATAAATGTTAAACATATAGGGACAAAAAAAAACACAAGTTGCAGACTTAATTATCACTCAACTTCTAAATAAACCACAGAAATGATAAAGAAATTAAATATACACCCATAAACTGGACCAAAAACCACTTGTGCTCAAATTGTTCAACAGTCCCACGTAAGTTTGATGATGAGGAAAACGTTTTTTTAGAAAATAAAAGTTTGGAGACTGAAATTGAAAAATTAGTATTGGATACTAAGTGTGAAATGTCTTATAGATTTAATTATAGCTGAAATTTTGATTTAATTAAAAGATTCGAAAACTATATGTAGTGGTATTCTTAAAATAGTATATGCATCATTTTTAAGCCAACTTGATTTATCATTAGAACTTGAATACCTACACCAGATCATAAAAAAAAATGTTTGTTAACAAACCAAACTTAAATATAATGTAGTAAATAAATAGAATTTAATATTAACAACTGATGACAGGCCAGCTCATACAAATTATTTTATTACAGAATAATCAGACTTTAATGTTGGTCTGTGTGAAGTGATCACTTTCCTCTTATGGTTTATATGAATAAATATAGTAATGGTTTGTTTGTTTTGAATTTCGCGCAAAGCTACACGAGGGCTATCTGCGCTAGCCATCCCTAATTTAGCAGTGTAAGACTAGAGGGAAGGCAGCTAGTCATCACCACCCACTGCCAATGAATAGTGGGATTGACTGTCACATTATAATGTCCCCACGGCTGAAAGGGCAAGCATGTTGGGTGGGACAGAGATTCGAACCCGAGACCCACAGATTGCGAGTCGAGTGCTCTAACCACCTGGCCATGCCGGGCCCATATAGTAATGGAAATACAAACATTAATGTAAATAATGCTAAATTTCAATAGGCAAATTTGAATTATTTTTTTTTTATAATGTTATGGAGAAAAAACAAAAATTATGATCTGTTCACTGCAATTCCAAAACAAACAAACAAAAACTGAGGTGGAATCTTAGATAAGAAATTAAAATTGCCATTATTTAATATAAAAGTAAATTATGAAGAATTTACATGAAATCTCACGATCCTTTTGTAAGAAATTTATTTAATATACGACAGAGTAACATGAAAAGCATGATTAATATGCAAAGAATATTTTGATAATACTTATAGGTATCAAGACAAGGAAAGATACTAAAACGTTTTGGGAGAAATTTAAAAACTATATAAATGGAATATATATATCCTACTTTAAAATATAGAAATACAACAGTAATAACGGATGTTGAAAAAAGCCGCTTCACTTAAAAGTCGTACGGAAATGTAAGTAATACAACTGACTATTCAAGTTTTAGTTAAAAATTGGTTTTATGTTACTGAAAGAATAAAAAATTAATGAATGCCTTTCCTGTTAATTAACGATAACCATAACAACTACAACAACATTAATTAACCTCATTTACTGATTAACAAACAGTTAAAACCCTTGAAATAAAAATATATTTTAAAATATATTCAAAATACTGGCCTGAGTTATGATAAAGTACAGTATATCATGATAAAAGTTTCCAGATTATCTATCTGAAACTGATAAACATTTTTATTTTATCCTCGAATCAAGTTTTCCTCCTGATTTTTGGAAGAACAGGTATTGCCACCGTAATATTAATCCTTTAAATTATAGGAATATTGACCAAATGTATTAAAAACATTTTAAAGGAAATTATATATATGATTTTAAAGAAAAGTCAAATGAACACCAAACACATTCAAAAAATAAAATGTAACGTCTTCCCATTTGGTTGGACTTGCAGAAAGTTTCATATATGGTTTCAATTCTAGACAAGCTACAGGTACTTGTTTCTTATATATATATCTTAATTTGATATAATATTTTCATTTTTAAATCAGTACATGATTTTTTACTTCCTTGTAGCTTAACTAGATGGATAAATAACTATATTACAAATTGTATAAATTTATTTATACTTCAAAAGCTGGTGTTCCTCAAGAAATTATTCTTAGCTCCTCAGTTATTTATTTTTATACAAATGGTATACCTTTTCCTATTACTAACAATAAACCCATATAGGCCAATATGCTAATGATGTAGCATATTTGGTATTTTCTGCCGAAAATTCTCTGATAAACACACAAATTACAGTTTGCTTTATTTTATTTAGAAGTGTGGTGTAACTTATGGAGTTGTTATCAATCCCACGAAAACACGATTGGTCGTAATTTTTTTTTACAGAAGGTATTATATAAAGCAAGCAAATTTCTCTGAATTAAACAATGTCACCATTAAAACCAACAATAAAATTAGTTGATATAACAAAATATTTTAGAGGAATGTATCATGAGAAACTTAAACTGAAAAATCATACAGATCACCTGATTAAGAAAGATTGGACTACAGTAAACATGCTTAAAAATTTATATCAAAACACAAAGATTGTAGTGACCAAATAGTTCATTCTCAAGATAAATAATAAATACATTCTATTTTGGAATATGCATGTTTTCCTTGGTCTAATTTTTCAAGTCATTATTTAAATTCTCTCCTAATTATGCACAATAATGGCCCAAGATAGGTATTTAAGTTACCCTGCTCTACACCTATTAAAATATTACATGAAATTTGTTGTTGTTTTCTTTCCTTTCCTAGAACAAGTTTGTAAACTTTCTAAAACTTTGAAACTGAGCCTTTTGTTCAAGTATAACTATTTCTTTCTGTCTAAAACTCAGTAACAATGTACTTGAAACTTTGTAAAGAATTTTTGCATAAGTTTGCTTTAAATTTGGATCAACCCTTTACAGTAAGTATACTTTTCCAAACAAAACCCTCCATGGTTCTTCTTACAACCAAAGGAGTAATGTAGAAAACTTTATGCAACTGTAGAAAATCATATACTGGAGAACTAGAGATTACGAACAATGATTTAAAGAACACAAAGTTCATCTAAAAACACAAATGCGTCAACTATTGCTGAACACACCATTGATACTGAACAACAGAAAAATATACAGCCAATCATATTTCAGCATTCTCTGAACGAATCACTTCAGAATCCAAGAACCAATTAGGAAAACATAAACAGTGTAAAGACTTCTATCTCAGTCACCTGTCCTGAAGATTAATGATAGCATGCCAAAAAACTGTCACCATTTTCCTGTTTCAACAGCAAGCTGTCCATATATAAAAATCTGTTTATCAAAGTTTTTATGCTATTTTTTTACCTTATTATCCTAAAGAAATACCTACCTTTTTACTTCCTCAAGCAGAGACAATTCTTGAAGTGAGCCAAAAAAAAAAGTCTTGCTAGTAGTATCCAAGTGAAAACTCATAGAGAAAACACGGATACTCGTTTTTTTTTTACCACAGATGGAAGCTTAGGCACACACACACATTTCTACAGGAAAATCCACATCTAAAGAATAATTCTCCCTCAGAATATCATCTATTCACACAGCCGAATGCTTTAATACATCCTTATGTACATGTAACATTACAATTAAATCCATTTCTTTAATGGCCAAGGCCAACACTGATAACTTTTATGAGTAGGTAAAAAACTTACAAGACGAGAACATTATGAACAAGACCGTGGTATTTTCTGTAGTTTATGGCCCTAAGGAGGCCTAGGAGTGTAAAATAGTCTACCTATATGTGCATTCTAAATAAGCTCTTGCCAAATACCATATATAAACACTATTCCATTTCCAATCCTCGAAGGCATTAATGATTCTGGGTAATGTTGCAGTGATAAAATTTAATTTTCTGTACCATTATAATGGTCACAAGTACTTAATACTATAAAGGTACTTACTAACCATAAGAATAAAACTATCGACTACTGCAGTAAGGCTGATATATATTCCAGGAATTGGAACCTTAATAATCAGAAAGATATGGAGTTACCACCTGACTTGAAGAAGAAACACAAAATCATTCCCACTTCATCAAGCTCACCTTTTGAATTAATATGGGAAAGTAGATTTAATGTCACGAGATATCATGTTTTCTTACTGCTGAAATTAAAATGGGTAACAATGACATGCATTACACCAGTCAGGTTAGCCTGATAAAGTAAACAAATTCAACTCTTTTTTTTTGCCATGCTCTCTTATCGGTAAGATGACCGTTCTACACATTACTACATAAAGTTTGTCACAAATCAAGTTATCTATTCTGCAACACTCCCAAACAATGGACAACTCTAGCTTTGTTCAGGATCATTCAAACGGCTGGATAAATAATGTTAGACCATAACATGTACCACTTCATCCCCCTCCATCTGACAGGCACTTCAAACTTACCCGTGACATTAGATTTTTGTTATACTAATACAGAGTAGTGCATAAACTAAGCCAGATCTTCATTCATAGAAACAACTCTGCATTTGCTAACTAGAACTACGTAACTAGAAATTATGTAAAAAAATAAAGAACCAAAATGTAATTCTTGACTAGTATGCTGAAATGTTCGATTAGTTAGGACAGTCATCTTCTTTCAGATGTTGAGAATTTTATGGTAATGGAAAAACTCCATTAAATAATAAATATAACAGCATTATTACTAGCATATGTATCAATACAGAAATCTTGAGAAGATGAAAAACTATATTATATAGTCATGCAGTTAAAGGTAGATCTTGCACATTCGTATAAAACTGCACACTGGACAGTCTATAGACAGACTAAAAACACAAAGAGGATTTCATAAAGTTCTAAATAATGCCTAACAAACTAAGACTGTTACTGAAACTTTCTTGTAAAAACTAGTTTAGAAAAACTCTTGATGGATTTCAGTAATGCAATTATTTCCAAACTTAAATCTTTCAGAAGAAAATAAAAGCAGCTGTCTGTATTCGTTTAAGATTAGAAAAAAACTAAATTGTGGAATTTGGTATTTTTATTCAGAAATAACTAGTTAATAGTCAAGTTCCGAATGAAATAAAATCATTCTTAAAACAACAGATAAAACTATAAGATACCAGAATCCAAACATGTTAACTATTATTTGATGTGCACTGAAAAAAGGTAATGCAATCAATTAAACACAACCATTGAACAACTAAGTTACTGCAAAAATGAAAATTAATGCCATGCTTTTGGAAGCAATAGTTTAGTGCAAGAACATTTTACATTGTAAGTATTTTTTACTTATAACTCTATACAGTTTCACATAGAAAATTTTGTAAATCTAAATACAAACAGAATAAGACGTACGGTACACATTTCTCTCTAACGTTTTAAAGCCATTCCTGATTTTTATTTGAAGGTTTAAAGGTGCATTTAACAGTTATAATTGATATGTTCAGCATCTTTAAGCACACGGATATAGAGAAACACAAGCATGGTATTAAACTGTGAAATATAAGTATCATACAATATATTCAAGAGTTATTAGTGAAGTAAATTTCTTTATCTACTGTTAATTTCACTGATCAGAGCAGAGAAACTACAGTTCCATAAGACAAGACTTTAAACACTGAGGTGTGGATGGGAATAGTTACTTGAAATAAAATACACAATCATCATGTCTCAAAATGTAAAATTTTTCTACTTATATCAACTTTTTTTTTACTCTCAGCCACCAGACTGACCACTTGTGGCTTCTGCTTTTCATTCTAGTTTTCACATTGGGCTTAAATCTAAAACTCACTCTTACAGAAAAAAAGAAAGAGTTATTAGCAGAAGTATTCAATTTTCTTTCACCTTATAACATCAAATGACTTGTGTTCAGGTAGTAGATTACAGTTTAGTAACACGTTAATTATAGAAACATCAGTAACATGTTTTACACGAGTTAGTAACTTTAACAAAACATGATGCGAAACATCCATTACTCCTTAGTACTAGTCAAAAGAAAATAGAATCAGATACATATAGTGAACAACCATAGCTATATTCAAGAAAAATAAACATTATCATTTAACAACGTGTGTACAATTTACTCAATCAACTTCAAGAAAACATCCATAAATTTACAGAATTTGTCGGCGGTCTTCAAACTTGAAGTTAATCAAGTAAATTGTGAAAGATGCAACATAAAGAAAGAAGAGAAAGTAATACAATTAAAATATCAAGAAGAACAAAACAGAAGATAAAGTTTTGGAGTAACTTCTGGTAAAAGTAAACATTCACTTGAAAGAAAAGAACAGAATACTGTTGTTTGTGAGGATTAACACATAATAATAAAACCATTTAGAAAGCTGGCCAAAAAATAAATAAATAAAATCAAGTACGTAAAATTTCATGTTTTATTTTTTTTTGGATCTTAATATCATCTACTGCAAATTGTTGGTGAAATGTTTACATTCACCACTTTTTTTACATAATAATAAACAACATTTTAATGATTGAAATTTAACATATACTGAAATTTCAGTCATTACAAAATAATGAAGCACGACAAAGGAAGGTACCATTTAGGGTATTAAACTTTATAAGTGTTGGTTTTTGCAGACTACCTTTTTTTATATTTCAAAAAATAAAACTTTGGAGAAACAAGTTTACATTGAAATGTAACACAATTTTTGAAACATAAGAAATCCACTTTTATTAATCATACTTTTAGTAAGTCTTGAAAATCATATAACCTAATAATTAAGTAAATAGAACAAATATTATGATATCACAAACTGTTAGTATGCTATCGAACAATAATTCTCCTGGAATTTCTGTAAAAGTAAGAAGTTATAAGCCTAAAAGGTTTAGCAATACAAGACCAAAACTATCCATCAGAACATAATACTTTATAAAAATATCAGAGGAGATAGTTGTCAAAATAAACAGTTAAAAGACAAGATATAATAACCAAGTTGTACAAGTATCAAATCACAAATATTTAGAGCATAATTTATAAGTATCGTATAAAGTTGTCAAAGAAAAGGGCACCATAACTTTCAGTGAAATATTTTAGTTTTTACTTTTACATTCAGTATTGAACAGATCAGTGAATGAATGTAACCAGGGGATTGATATATTAATGAAACAAACTGAAAAAGGCAATCATGAAACATTGAATAAAAAATGTCCTTTAGACAGGCAAATAACTGTCAGAAATAGAATACTGACTATAGTGCTAGTTAGTATGATAGTTTTTTTACTATAAGTACTGTAAACTAATGTCTCATTTCATAAGTAATATGTATTTGTTAAATTGTTTATAAATGGCAAGTCATATGATTGTTACTTTTGACCAGTTAGGAAAGTTACCTTGTTTCTGAAAAAAAGTGTAAATTATTTAAGTATTTTTTATCCACTATTTTCTAACAAAACATTTTTTACTTGTATTAATATTTCTTACTTATTTCAAATGAATTTTATGAGTATTTCTTTTTTAGAACATTTGTTTGTGAAATAAACATAAATACTACCACTTTTAATGTGTAATAAACATAGTTCTCACATTAAAATATAACACTGTATAATTAAAAATAAAAATTTTCATAAGGACAAGATGCACACCTTTTTTTTCATTTGAGCACCTAATGGAGAAAGTGATGCTCAATTTAATAAACTTGTATTTGGAGAAAAGTAAAAACAAATCAAATAATAATCCAATCAACTCTCCTGATGAGCTAGTCTAAGTTATTGTACTTCAAATACAATGACAATTCACAACTGAAGAAATCAGCTGATTCAAGTACTTACACTAAAGGCATGGCATATATATGTCATGAGTTCATCTTAAGCTTAGCTCTAATACGTATGTGTATATATATATGTGTGTGTGTGTGTGTTTGTAAAACATTTGTTGCTTTGTTATCTTTCAAAACATATCAAATAACAGTTCTCTAATAAAATCAAAGTAAGTTAGATGGACATGGCTTGTCTTATTCTTCAGCAAATGTTACCTATGAAGGACATTCCTTCTAAAAGAGGGTAAAACACAATTACTAAAATTTATGAGAAAACAACTAACATGCATTACTTACATCCTCTCTAATTTGGAAGCAAAACTTACTGATTACAAATACATAAATGAAGGTGATTGTTGAAGATAACTAGATACAAGGTTTGTGTGTTGTTTGCCAAGAAGAAAAGTACAGCTGTACAAGAACACACAGGAGCTTAATGTTGCACTGATGGTATGAACACAGAACTCAAGGCCTACAAACAAAATGCAAGCTTGCTTGAGGCAGACAGGTACACAAACAGTCTGATTTGCATCAATTAAAGAGTCATAGTTCTTCTTACAACACTACGCATTTTCACTTAGGACTCATCTTCTGAATTTTCCGAATCGATGAACTCTACGTGAGTAAAGGGAAAATGTCCAGTTTTACCCCTCAGTTCTCCTTCCCACTGCCCATTGATGTTCATTTTGGTAACCTTTATGACATCTCCAACCTAAGTAACAAGTACAGAAGTAACTTTGCAAAAGTAATGTTGTAGGTAGTGTTAAACAAGCTATGGATTTAATAATCCAGCTTTAATGCATAAATAAAAATGAAGACAATAAAAGCAGTATCATAAACTGTATATAAGTTCATTTCTTAAAAAAAAAAACATTATATATTAGATCCTCTACTGCTACAATTCTTGAGAAAACATTTTCCAATAAATATAAGACATAGTGTAAAAGGTTTGGGCAATTATTTACCCAAATTTTTTACAGACTTTGAAAAAACAAAAAAAATCACATTCTTAATTTGAATGAGAGAAAATTCAAATATAAAATATACATAGGTCATAATCATCATGTCAAGGGTTTAAATAAAAACCCAAATCATTGAGCTTTCACTATTAATAATGAAAGAAACTAGAACTAGGTTAATAATGCAATGCAAGTACCACCTCCACGAAGAACACATGCTTGAGCCGAGAGACATTACAAACACTAACTTGTATAATAGCTGGGGGTACGAAAATAAGAAAACATGTAGTAAGTTCAGGCTACAGCAGCTAACTTAAATGAACAACATATACAAGTTGTACTTTAATGTACACACAGTCTGAACTGCTTAAGCATACACACATCTACATCTTGTGATGTAATTTACCAAGGTAATCTGAAGCTCAATTTTAATATAAATACACTACTGCTTTTCTAGCTGATGATTAGCACGGCCAGACGAGTAAACCAGTTTTTGTATTATCCTTTCTGTGACAAGATAGCCACTAGTGTTGTCAAACACAAAACAATATTGAATAAATAGAGTTGTTTAAACATTTGTTTAACAACAAGTAAAAGCTTGGAATGGTCTATTCTTTCATTGTGGTGTGTGTCTGTGACCCAGACTACCAAACAATATTGTTAAGACAAACATGAAAAGACCATTCTAAAGTTAGAAGTTGTTTATATAATGCAATTTTGACTACAAACAATATGGGACACCTTCCACTTTGTTTGTAGAGACTGCTCCTGTCCTGTTTTT